GGCTTTATAATAAGCAAGTAGCTTTAAACATTGTAAATCAGGTCCTCCTGCCTCAACTTCTAGGGTGCTAGTATTATGGTATGTTACCACACCTGGCCATTTTTTAAACAAATAATTTTATAGTCTTTTATTTAAAGTTAGTCTAATAAGGGCATAGTAATTTAAAAGACTTTATGAGAATTTCATACAATGTATCTTGAACATATCCATCCCTCGATCCCTCCCATAAGCACCCGCTCCCGTTCTATCACTTCCCTCTCAGTTTGAGATTTGTTCTTTTTTCTCCCCCATCCAGTCCAGTGCGTGTTTCCCAGCTGGTCTTGGAGTGGGCCTGCTCTAGGGTGTGTGGCTGACCTAGTAGGCATCACACTATTAAAGGAAATTGGCTCTCCCTCTCCCTACTATTGGCGAAGGTATGTGAATCCACGAGAGCCCAAACTAAAGATGAAAGATTTATTAGGAAACAGGAATAACAGCAAGGCAGAGAGCCGCCTCAGTCTTCCTGCCCTTCTGCCCTGGGATCAGTGGGAGCAGCGGTCTGAGAGCAGTGATCCCTCTTCTCAGGTCTGTAGGCGAGAAGCCACGCCCTAAGGCTGGTACCCAGTCCTGCAGCACCCTGCAGCTATCCAGTGACACTGGCTCCTCAGCCTAATAAGATAAGGCAGGGTTTGGTCCTCACTTCCCCTCTGTACTACGGAGCTTGCATAGGTCTGGTGCACACTGTCACTGTGGCTGTGAGTTCATATGTGCCACTAACTGCCCTGTTGTGTCTGGACAACACCTTTCTTGGTATTAGCAACTTCTTCTGGCTCTTATCTTTCCACCTGTAATGGCTATTCTTGGTAGTCAACTTGATTCTAACTGGAACGAACTGTAATCCAGAAATAGAGGGCACAGTTGTGATTCAGACCTTGAGGCTGGAAGGCCACACCTTCTACTGGGAGCCTATGTAAGGGCAGTGGAAGGGAAGGGTTGCTTTTTGCCTGCTCGATCCTCCTTGTCAGTACACCCTTTTCCTTTTTGGGATCCAGCAGACCCAGAGCCGAGACATCGGGTGAGCGCTGAGCAGCTCCTAAGTCCTTCCAGCAATCTCTCTCTCTCTCTCTCTCTCTCTCTCTCTCTCTCTCTCTCTCTCTCTCTCTCTCTCTCACTGTCTTAAGATCTGTGACTCTTGAGAACCCTGACTAATACAGATGTTGGTATCAGAGTGGTTCTAAAACAGAAATGTAAGGATGAATCTTTTAAGTATACAGAATAGGCTTTTAAATTCGTCTACACTTTCAAATTCATGAGCAGCTTCAGCTCCTGAAGCCTCTCCTCCAGCTCTGAAAGTACTGAAAGCTCATGGTGTAAACTATATTTCAGACTTACAGAGATAAGTGCCTTTGATTATCTTGATTCATCACTAGTGAACAGCAGTGGATTCAGTGACATTGCATTTGACAGTTTGTGGAAAATTATGCTGCTGGTTGGTTGCTCTTAATTTCTCTGGATAAATTATTAAAGGATAGGAATAAGCTCAGTGGTAAGATTAACCAACTTCAGAATATGGTGAAGGACGATAACGAAGCCAATGATAAAGCTGACTGGCTCCAGATGGGAATACACGGTCTAAAGGGTTCTAAGTGTGCCCTGGAAGAGAGTCTCCCCTCCAGGAGCCACAGAGCTTGAGTTGTGGAAAATCAAACCAAAGCCCTTTAAAAGTGAAAGGTTTTAATTTATAGAGTCATTAGGAGGCCTGAGGTGGTTAACGATACACTTTTGGTGAAATTGATTAATTGTAATAAACCGACTGAAGAAGAAAAGTTTGGAAGGTGGGTAAAACTCTCCTGTGATCTGTGGGGGAAGAATCTGTCTTCTTTGGCCTAGAGCAGTAAATTTAGGATCTTCTGATGGAGCAGTGAAACGGCAAGAGTGCCCGAGCCATTTCATGTGATACACTTTAAAAAGACTGTGAAAACGCATTTAAAGCAGCCGCATTTATAAAAGGTGTCATGGAAGAGCACTTACTAAAATACATTTTTTTCACATGAGTACAAGCGAACCGTGAGGTAGAACCCTGGACTACAGGCTCACTTGTTTTTAGATTTCAGTAGTGTCATATGAGACTTTTTCCTTCTGGTTAAGCTGTATTTCTCAATAGTCAAAAAATGGTGTATTTGGTCTAGAATTAAAGACTAGACGCTTTGAGAGTCTTGACTCTTCATCTTTCTTGTGGAATCTTAAAACATCCATTCTCCAGTGTCACCTTTTAAATGGGGTAACTGAAAAAGTGTGTCTGATGGCGTACCCTTGCAGAATTGGGCAATCCCTGAAAAGACCTTAGCCCAGTACATGGCACATAACTGCAATTGTATCTGTTTCTGTCATTAATCAGCTGACTTGAGAAATACTTTATTTGTTCAGTCTTCGGTAGACTAGTGCCTGAAGCTTTAGCTAGAGGGCTTGTCGCCTAAGTTTATTCCTCACCTGATTTCCTTTTATAGTACTGTGGTTTGAAAATAGCAAGAACCAGGATTTGAGTTCAAGGTCAGTGTAAGAATGAGTGGCGAGAGAGGTATTCCAGATTCTTTTTTTGTTTTTTTTTTTTTTTAAAGATTTTATTTATTGTGTATATAACATTCCACCTGCATGTATTCCTGCAGGTCAGAAGAGGGCAACAGATCTCATTACTAATGACTGTGAGCCACCATGTGGTTGCCAGGAATTGAACTTAGGACCTCTGGAAGAGCAGCCAGTGTTTTTAACCTCTGAGCCTTCTCTCCAGCCCAATTAATTGGATTCTTTTTTTTGTTTGTTTGTTTTTATTTTACATATCTATCCCAGTTCCCCTTCCCTCCCTCCCTCTCTCCCTTTCTCCCCCTCCCTCTCTCCTTCCCTTCCTCTCCCTCCTTCCCTTCCTACCTCCTTTCTTCTCCCTCCTTCCCTCCCTCCCTCTTTTCCTCTCTCCCACCCTCTCATGTAGGGTGATGCCTTCCAGGAGGGGTCATCTAAATCTGTCAAGTCATTTGGAGTAGGGACTAGGCCTTCCCTCCCGTCTCTATGTTAAGGGAGTATCCCTCCATGGGGGATGTGCTCCCAAAGTCCTTTTGAGAAATTGGATTCTTAAAACATTAAAAAACTATATATTTGTTTAGAGGGTGGGGTGCCAGACAGGGAACGTGGGCACGCTTGCCATGGTACGGATGTGCAGGTCAGAGGGTGTATAAGAGTTCTGTCCTTCCATCATTGGTCCCAGGGATTGAACTCAGATCGACAGGTCTGGAGACAGGTGTCCTTATCCATAGAGCCATCTTACTGGCCCTGGAAATTGAACCCTCAACCATTGTTAGTTACATTCTTGGGTGTTAAATGTCTCTGACATTGGTGTGACATTAGGTTTATATCACAGCAGTGTACACAGTCCTCATGTATTAATGCGCCTACTAAATTGACTGTGAGATTTAACCTGTATCTTCACAGGTGTCATCAATCGTGAATGTGCAGATCATTGATCAGGTGCATAGCGTTGATCACATGGGTATTAGCAGAAAACTGATGCTTACGGTAGAAAGGAAACAAGGTGCAGGTGCTGGGGTTAAGTCGGCGGTACCCTGGGATGCCTAAAGTGCAATACTTAGAGTGTGTCAGGGACTGTGGTCATTTCTTTGTATAGTGTGTTATTTGATCTTCAGTTATCAAGTCTTCTGTTTTCCTGTTTGAAAACTTCTTCAATGGCAGCTGATTGTTTGGAGGGAAGTTTTCTCAAAACTCTGGTGTGAACGCTTGTAAATATATTGAGCCCTATTTTATTATGCGTGTCACGATTTCCAGGTGCCTGGAGTTTCTGGTTGCCCTTTCTCCCTATTATGTCACCTTTCTTTAAGGCCATCATTCTCTAAAACCCTTAGCCTGCTTCTCGACATACGCAGAGAGTCCAACTTACTGTACTTGAGGAAACTTTTGATTTGAAATTTTTCAATAAAGCCTTGAGATAAGTAGGTTTCCAGCGATCCTAATATCTAAGCAAAACCCAGAAACCCAGAAAATAATTGGAGGGGACAAATGAGTGGGGTGTGAGGCACAGTAATGGTTTCGTTCCAGGCTTTTGAGGGGCTTTAAAGACTCAAAGTCACAAAGTCTGTTGAGAGCGACTTGGCAAATACCTGCTGTTCTGTGCAGTTTGCTCCCAGCTTTCTGGAGTGCCCGTCACTTGAAGATGGTGCTGTTTCTAAGCTCACATAGAAAGTAAATGTAGAACAATTTACCTTGTGTACTTGAGAAAATAAAAAGAATATGACAAAGAGGATGCAGTCTTTAGTGGTGTGTGTGTGTGTGTGTGTGAGTGTGTGTGTGCATGTGCATGTGTGCGCGCGTGTTTGTGTGTGTGTAAAAGTAAAACCCAAAAATGGAAGGACTGTTAATAGTCTTAGAGCAGTGAGGGAGTAGCTCCTGGACTGGTGCCTGTCCAGTGCCTGCTGCAGGGGACGGAGGGGACAGGGAGGCGGGAGGAGGATAGGTCACTCATGCATAAAAGCTCCTCACAAGCTGGGTGTTGGCAAATGATCACCCCTGTCTTTGTGAAGGTCTTTGCAAGATCTTGTTGCAGGGCTGGTGGGGTGGTACAGACCTGAAGATCCAGTGCTCTGCAAGCAGGGGCATCCTTAGCCTACATAGCCTGGGCTACATGAAACTTTAATAAATATGATACTACAACGTCATTATGAACAGCATTTAAAAATTTTAAGCACTTTTAAAATGTTTGTTTAGAATACTACATAGAGGATAGGTATTTTCCTATGTTCTCCTTATGTAAGGACCTGGGGTCTTATACTTCTAAATATATTTAGATTTATTTGTGTTTATTTACTTAGCTTTTTGATTGGTATATTACTGCAATATTACTAAAATTTCCATGGCATTAGTTATTTGTTTATAGACTGTTAGGGCACTTAGATATGATTTTACTGCTTTCATATATTCCCTAATAAAATTAGCTACGTAATTTTTTTTTTAATTAGGAAGTGGCTGTTTTTGTCTTTGATAAAAAGCTGATTGACAAATATCAAAAATTTGAAAAGGATCAGATCATCGATTCTTTAAAACGAGGAGTCCAACAGCTCACCCGGCTACGCCACCCTCGACTTCTTACTGTCCAGCATCCTTTAGAAGAGTCAAGGTAAAACTTTGAAAATTCCTACAGGAAAGGTCCTGAATAAATAGTTAAAAGTAACTATTTGGTCTGTTTCAAATATTATCAACAAAATTCTTGAAAAGTAAGTGTTGTGATCTTCTGAATCATTTACACATGTGTCTGTGTATTTTTATGTGTGTGTATGTTTGCTTGTGAGTTTGTGTGCACTATGTGTGGGCACCCTGAAGGGGCCAGAAGAGAGTGGCACCCTGAAGTGCCCGCATGGTGGTTGTGTGCCACCATGTGGCGCTGTGAACAGAGTCTGGTCTTCTGTGGCAGCCGCCAGTGAGCTCTCTTAACTAGTGGCCTCTGAGGCATTAGTGCTTTTCATGGTGTCATGACATGTCTATATTTAATTGCCTATAGTAGTCACAACCAATCCAAGGGAACTGTGGGATATAGTCTTTGTCTGAAAGTAGATGGTCTTGCTACTTGGCTAGAATTTACAGTCTCCTTTTCATTAATTATTTGGTGACCACTTTTGCATATATGTCAAGTGCTGTTCTAGACATTAAATCTTTTATGCCCAGTATGTGTCAGTCTGTAGCCTTCAGTTATTTTAACATCATCAATTTTACTTAAAGATAAGCTTGGGAAATGTTTCTGAGATTAACTAGAAAATAAGATTTATGCATCTTGACTGGACCAGTTCTTTAGATAGATTGCAATGGTTTTCTACATTATTCATAATTGCTCATTTAAACTTGTTTCTTCCCTCCTCTTTAGCCCATTGTTCCCGTCTTAATTTAGAAGGTCTTAAGTTGTTGGCCAGTTGTGTTCTGTGTCCTTTAGGATGTTCAGGATAAGGCAGGAAGGGGCAAGTAGAGGGTTCCAATCTTTCCATCTCCCTTTATCTGGGGCAGTTTTACTTGTGTCTGTTTTATGAATTATGCTTCTGAAAGTTCCTTGTTTGAAATCCTCAGTAATTCTCTCCACTCACCACTCCCAAACAAAGGCATAGACATTTACCATGTGTAAAATTGTGCTAGCTGCTTTTCATTCCTTAACTCCTGCAAGCTTCATAATTACCCAGAGCAGGAATGAGATACTGTTTAAACTCTGGCTTGGTTTCTGAGCCTATGCTTTATATCTTTATCTCTGTGTTGTGTCTGTCAAGAAGTATGCTCATATCTCTTAATATAAAAAGTCTGTTATGTTAATTTGATCCCTTTGTCTTACATCTTATTATACACTTGAAGCTTCTTGAGATGAGAAGGGTAATGCACTTTACTGCTCTTTATCCCCATAGTTTCTTATGCAGTGATTTATTTACACATTCTAGAATTAGAAAGTTCAGTGTTTTTATATTAACTTGGGTGTGTGATGTATATGTGGACACTTCTCATGGTGTGTGTGTGTGTGTGTGTGTGTGTGTGTGTGTGTGTGTGTGTGTGTGTGTGTAGTTCAGAGGGCAGTTTTATGGAATCAGTCCTCTCCATCCCCATTATGTGGGTCCTGGGAATTGAACTCAGGTCAAAGTGAACTCAGGAACTTGCTTGACAAGTTCCACCTGTTGAGCCATCTTGCTAGTCTTAATCTTAGGAATTTATTTGCCATCAGGAAGAAACACAATTCAGAGCTTACTTCATTGTCTTTATCTGTAGGGTTTGTTAAAATTGCAGTAAGCATTAAGCATCAATGATAGGAGGAGGGACACTTTAAGGACTAGAAAAATAACTTCATTTTAAATATATTATTATTAAGCTTGAGATGATACATGTTGGTTCTGCATTTCTTAGGTTCAGGGCAGAAAAGAAGTTAAGCAGTGTATTGCAGATACGTGGATATGAGTGTAAAGCTGCTGTTGAGTAACTGGCATCTTGGAACTGAAGCCTGCTTTAGCCTTAGCACTTTGTAGGTTTTCTTTGCTCAGCCCATAGACAGAGACCTAAAATGTTGGGGCTTAGGCTTGGTAATTACGATGGCCGTGCTAAATTTATTGAGGTGCACACCAGACAGTGCTGCTCTGCCTTGTGCTTTGCGCGATTACGTCATTTGCTTCTTACTGTAACCCTCCAGGTTGCATCTCTCAGCACTATTTTACAAGTGGACAAGCGAGGCTTGCAGAGATGGTGGGCAGCATCACCAAGATAGGAAATAGGAAAGCTAGGGCTTGGGGCCTGTCTTCCGAGCTTGAGGTGAACATTATGTCATGAGTACAGACTGTCGATCTCCATGGTAACATTCTCTGACATGGGCACAGATGGTCCGTATCCCTGGGAACGTTTTCTGAACATTAAAATCTTATAAATCAAGAAAACAGTAATTGAAACTTAAAAACTGTTGAATCCTTTCAAAATGATGTGCAAAATAGAAGAAAACAAAGCTTCTGGGTTGAAGACTGGGAACTTGACTCCCCTGACTTGCTCCTGTGGCAATATGTGAAAAATAGTCTGAAAATCACAGCCTATACTTAATTGTATGATAATAGCTTTAATGAAACAGTTTTTGAGTCAGTTTCTTTTTTTTCCTTCTTTTTTGGTTTCAGGCAATCATTAAAAACCAAAATTGAAAGTTTATCTCCTCTGACTTTAAAATTTAAAATAAAATGTATCACAGTTGTCATAGAACTAAGTTTAAAAGATTGAATAATTTACCCAGCCTGATTTGTGTGTAAATGTGACTTTGTTGGTTGAAGGGTGCCATAATCATGCTGGCTTATAAACCAAAGTTTCTTACTGTTATCTGATAGATTATCTGCTATTTCATATGTATTTAATTTTCATAATGTGTAAAAATGATAGTAACTCTTTTTCTTTTTTGAAACAGGGATTGCTTGGCATTTTGTACAGAACCAGTTTTTGCAAGTTTAGCCAATGTTCTTGGTAACTGGGAAAATCTACCCTCTTCAATATCTCCAGACATTAAGGATTATAAACTTTATGATGTAGAAACTAAGTATGGTTTGCTTCAGGTATGTCGTTTTATTTAATATGAGAAAATTTTTTTTAAAAACAATTTTTTAGCTATTTCAGATTTATCTACTGTGTAAACTATCTTACGTAGTTTTGATCCTTGACAAGAATTTGGAATTATTTCCATGATGTAGAATTGTTGTTGTTTGTATCATTAGGCTATGCACCCCCGCACCCCTCCCCCAGCTAGGGTCTCGCTGTATTGCCTTGATTGGCCTGGTACTTGCTGTATAAGCCAGACTAGCCTTGAACCACAATGCTTTGCTAAGGTTAATTTAAATATATGAAGTGGATAACATTGGTAATCTTTACGGAGGGTCACCTTAATGGCTGTTGCATAAGTTCTTTTTAATTATTTTGAATCATGTAAGTTCATTTCATAAACAAACTTTTAAGGAAATTTAAAGTATATTGAGAGGTATTATTAGTCTCTTCACATATGCCTCAATTTTACGACTTTTCTCTCTGGTAAATCTTGGAAATTCTGAGTCCTTTGAAAGAGAGATTATATTATTAAATTTTAAAAACAATTTCTACTTTGTCATGAATGTGTGTTAAGTGGGGAGGGCATGTGTGCGTAGATCAGAGGACAGCTTGTGGGGGCGGGGTCTTCTGCCCTGTGTGTTCCGGGGTAGAGCTCAGGTCACTGAGGTTGGCAGCAAATGCCTTTCCTCTGTTTGAGGAGCCGTCACGTCAGCCTTCCGTACCGTTCCCTTTCATGCTTGTGCTTTTCATGTTACGTCTAGGATGTGAGAACTAATGTCATGAAATGCCACCATTGTACTTCTAAGAGTCCTCTAATGTTTGGTCTTAGCACATTTTGAGGCAGTTGATTTTGGTTTGTTTTATTGTTTGTTATAGGGCCTTTTACATGTTCAGTATATGCGCTACCATTGAGCTACATCCCTAGCTTGAGTTAATTTTGTGAATGGCATAAAGCTCCAGCTTCATTCTTTCATAGGTGATTTTAGTTTTCTAGCATCATTTATTAAGAAGTCTGACCCCCCCCCATGATTTTAATGCCATCATTAAAAAAAAATTATTTGGCTGTATAAACAAAGCTATTTCTATGTTTTTCATTCTGTCTCATTGATCTGTCTTTATGCCAGCACCACCATCATTTTGATTGCTGTTGTTTTGTAGCAAGCAACTAGACTGTTTTCCCAGACTATAAAATAGTCCCAAAGATTAATAACAGATAGAAGCTGGGGAGAAGGCTTAGGGTCAGAGCACTTGCTGTGCAAAGCGTGAGGACCTAAATTCGAATTCCTTGCATTCATGTAAGAACACGCAGCTCTGTGGGGTGGAGTCAGAGTCAGGAGGCTGCTGGCTGCTACTCTAGCTCTGGGCTCCGTGAAAGACCCTGACAAAGGGGCGGGGCAGGGCGGGGCGGGGCGGGGCGGGGCGGGGAATGATACAATAGAGCAGCCTATGAACACCCCTCCACATACATACACACTCCTGCATGTACACACTCTCAGGTGTACAGAAATAACCCCATGCATATCTCTATATCTAGCACTGATTTATGTTTTAGAGCTAATATGCTAAAAACCTGGCATTTTAGCTAAAGTATATAGGACACCATCCTTGTATATAAATATAAAAATACTGTCAGTTTCCTAAATATACAATAAGCATGTAGCTTGTTTTCTTGTGAAAAAAGGTTTGGAAAACTTTGTATTCTTTCAAGTTATATTTGGAAGTAATCATTTCTGGAAATGTAAAATTTTTACAAAGTTTATTAGCACATGTTAACTATATTACAGTGGACTCAGTTGTGACGTTTTCCCACGTGTGTAATGTGTTTTGATGCTGCTCTTCCAGTGCTCTCTCGTTACCATCTTGCTGCTGATCCTCCGTACAAGTTTTAACATGTACGGGTGTTTTGTCTGCATAAATGTGTCCTCTACACATAGGCCAGAGGAGGGCACCAGAGTCCCTGTAACGTGAGTTACAGATGCTTGCGAGCGACCCTGTAGATGCTGAGAGTTGAGTCCAGGGCTGCATTGCTCTTAACTGCAGTCACCTCTCCAGCCCTGTCTTCATCTCTTTAGTGTGTAATCCTGGTTGGCCTAGAACTTGCTATGTAGACCAAGCTGGCCTTTAATTCAACAGAGATCCACCTGCCTCTGCTTTCCAGAGTACTGGGGTTGTGGGATTGAAGGCATGTACCACCAAGGCTGTTTAATTGGCCAAATTTAAAATAAAACAAAAACAAAACTAGAAAAAGTAGGATAACTCAAAGGTTTTTGTCTTAGCAAATAGAAAAAGTGATTATTAGCTAGTATGTAAAACATTGGAGAAGTGAACTAAATTCGGGGTAGTAACTTGGTTTTGGATTACTCTAAGACCCAGGTGCTTACCGGAGATTGGAGGGGAGAGAAAGTGTTAGGTGACTTGGGGCAGAGGCCCAGCTCCACGGTGGGAGCAGACAGCAGGTGAGTGATGGAAGCCGAGCAGCCTTACGATGGTGAGAGCAGAGGCCCAGATATATCTGGGAGCTAGGAAGGGAGACCAGTGGCGTTTGAAGAAAGTTGGGGACAGAGGTTTCCTGGAAGCCAGAGAACACTAACTTTCCAGATACACTTCCTGTACAGACAGCCTTCTGTTAGGGCTCCACAGTCACCTTTGTACAGACAGACATTACCATCCTGCCCAGTGTGACAGTGAGTGCACATTAAACAATTACAAACTAAGCACTTGATATTTACTACTTAGTGTGTACTTAGCAACCACACCCAGATACAAAAGGGACTTCTTAATAGATAGTTGTACTCGAGTTTTGTTGCAAGATTTCCCTCACTAGTTTGATTGCTGGTTGAGTTGTAGAAACTTCCTAGCTGAACCAGCAGGTGTTGTGTTCAATATAAAAAGTAATTTTTGTCAAAAGTAGTTTTTTTTTTTTTTTTTTCCACTTCCAGGTTTCTGAAGGATTGTCATTTTTGCATAGCAGTGTGAAAATGGTTCATGGAAATGTTACTCCTGAAAATATAATTTTGAATAAAAGTGGAGCCTGGAAAATAATGGGTTTTGATTTTTGTGTGTCATCAAGCAATCCTTCTGAACAAGAGGTAATGACGGTTTTAATGTTTGGATTTTTTAAAATCATGGAAATCTATGATCGCAGCTACAGTGGTAGTCTTGGCGATGGTGTACTGGGACATCTATTGTAGAGAAAACTCCTGGTGTTTGTTGTGACCGAGAGTATTCTCCAGATGATTAATTCTGTAGATGTCTTGAGCAAAGGGTCGACTTAGTTAAACAGGAATTTTTTCCTTAGAAACCCAAATCTACAACTGATGGTGTGACTTAGCGCCATGTGCCTGCTGTGAAAATGTGGGCTCTTCCTTAAGGACTACAGGGGCAGAGGCAGTGATTTATGTGCTGACATTAAGGGGCTTATTAATTTAACATTGGTTGACTTTGTTCTTGGACAGCATCATACATGCATACATTGTGTTCTGTGTGGTCCCTCTCTTTTATTTTCTAAGGTCTTCCATGCGTTGGCTTCTTCAATCCCAACAACAGCTAGTGTGGTGTGGGAACAGTGAGTTTAGGTGGTGCTGGGTGCCGGGTGCCAGCTAGGATGTGAGCTCCATTTTTCTGCTCTTAAGCCCTTGCTTCCCAGTGATTCAGGGTTCCTGCATTCATTCTTAGCAACACTTTAGGCCAGCCATGCTTTGTGTTGATGGGTTCCTTATGACATAGAAGGGTCGTAGGGCACCTATTACAGCTCAGCTATTTGTTGCTTGCATTTTTTTGGGGATTTGATGATTTGGGAATTTTAGAGTTAAAGGTGGTGGTAGCATTTCCACTTGCTTGACTATATACAAGCTGTTGTTGTTTCTTATATTGTTTTGAAACAGGGTTTCTACGTAATCCTGACTGTCCTAGAGCTCATTGTGTAGACCAGGCTGGTCTGAACTTAGAGGTAGCCACCTGCCTCTGCCTCCTAAGTGCTGGCTGGGTCAGTGCAAACTTAAATAACTGTAGCTTGTAGTGGATTGCTGTTACTTGACATTCTAACCTTGTCATTCTGTTTCTTCTTCCAGCCTAAATTTCCTTGTAAAGAGTGGGACCCAAACTTACCATCATTGTGTCTTCCGAACCCTGAATACTTGGCTCCTGAATACATCCTCTCCGTGAGCTGTGAAACAGCCAGTGATATGTATTCCTTAGGAACTGTTATATATGCTGTCTTTAATAAAGGGAAACCTATATTTGAAGTCAACAAGCAAGATATTTACAAGAGTTTCAGTAGACAGTTGGATCAGGTATTTGCCTGTCAGTACTTGTTTAAATGTCTCCTTGGCTTTTTATTTTTTTTCTCTAAAATGTAGACAGAAAATTCTTCTTAAAAATAAATAGCTTTATTAATTCTTTAAGAATTTGATATTCACATGCATTTTTTTTTTTTTTTTTAATACATTCATCCCTTTCCTTCCCCTGAATCTTCCTGGATCTACCCCGTCTTCCCAACTGCCCTCCCAACTCATGTTCTTTTTCAGTAACCCATAGTTTAGTTTGTGCTGTCAAGGTGTATGCTCATTCACTGGCGTGTTCTAGACATGTCATGGGCCACATCCTTAGGACAGAGTTCCCTTTGCCAGCAGCCATCAACTGTCAGTAGCTCCTCAGCAAGGGGTGAGGTCTTGTGAGCCCTTTTCCCAGGCGCTGGGATGTTGACAGGCTTGGTCTTGTGGATTCTGTTGTAGGCCATCACAACTGCAGAAATTTCCTAATAGAAATGAGTACTTCATTTCAAGTTTGTAAAATTAATTCAGTAAAACTAACTTCTATAAAGATTACTAAAAGCTATTTATTACAACTTTCATCATGGCATTTACTAGAGTATCTAAAGTACTGCCCATCTTACTTTAGAAATGGAAATACTTTTGAGTATTAAAGATGTTTTAATTGTGTTGGAAGAACAGTTGGTGTTCATACAGCCACCAGATTCAGCGTGTAGAAAGGGTTCGGAACCTTTCTGAATGTTTTACACGCCTATGTTTGTGCTCTTTTGAATAGCTGAGTCGTTTAGGATCTAGTTCACTTACAAGTATACCTGACGAAGTCCGTGAGCACGTGAAACTGTTACTGAATGTAACTCCAACTGTAAGGCCTGATGCAGACCAAATGACAAAAGTGAGTACATCTAGGTTTTCGTATTAGATTGCAACAGAACTGAAATAGAAAAAAAGGCAAAATACAATGCATAACTCTGTTCTTAGACACTTCTGTGTTCTTGAATATGTTAAAGTTTCAGCTTTTATCATTAAATAGCTAAATAGTTCATGTACCTAGTTGCGAAGGAAATTAAGATTTCAAATGAACAGAGATCCTGGTAGTCACAGTTGGGGAGGCAGGCATTCTGGATGCCCAGAAAACGTTATCTTTAAGTTAGTAGGTAGCTTGGTGCTCATCATGCTGTCAAAGTATTTTATCTTTAAAAATTTATTTCTTTATTTTTAATGGTGTATTTGTGTGTGTCCATGTGAAGATATGTGTGTGTGAATGCAAAAGTTGCCCGATATTTATGCTGGGAATTTAGCTCGTGTGCTCTGGATGGCAACACGTGCTCTTAACCACTGAGCCGGCTTTCCAGCCCCAACTTTGAAGCTGCTTGAAAGTTTGAGTATTTTATACATGGCATCACTGTTCATGGGCACTTGAGATGTGAATTTGAAGAGTGACTTTCCTATTTGGAGTTTTTGATTAGAATTTTTAAATGTAATGTTTAGGATATTGCCTAATGTTTTTGAATACTTTCTTTCGCTTTGCTGTGGTGATTTTATATGTGAGTAAATTTAACTGAATGTCTATCACAGTGATGACTTTCCATACTGTTAGATTCCCTTCTTTGATGATGTTGGTGCCGTCACACTTCAGTACTTTGATACCTTATTCCAAAGAGATAATCTTCAGAAGTCACAGTTCTTCAAAGGATTGCCAAAGGTTCTACCAAAGCTGCCCAAGGTTTGTTATCAGCTTTATTTAAATGTACTCAGAGATTTTTATTTAATGTTTACTTTGACTTACTATAAACCACTCTTCCAAAGACATAAAAGTTTTTACCGGAGATGACACATTAACATACTGAAAACTCAAAGTCAAAGCTTAGTTAGGGTGCAAAAATTAATAGGATTTAACAAATTAGGATGCTGCCTGTGTTAATGCTGCCTGTGCCGGACATTGTGTCCAAAAAGAGGTCTGAGAACAGCTTCACTAGCAGTTGACGAATGCATTGGTATTGGTGCAGACCTTCATAGTTCTTTATTCTTCTCTGGCTTGCTAAACAGTGCAAAATAGAATTAAAGATGGTGATGAAGCCGGGTCTGGAAGTACATGCCTTTATCTGTACTCTCAGCATCTGGGAGGCAGGGCAGTGGGTCTCTGAGTTCTAGCCTAGCCAGACTACATAGTAAGATCCCTTCTTAAGAACAAAACCAAGAGGGAGCTCATGGACCCCCAGACTGATAGCTGGGAAACCAGCATTGGACCGACTCAGACCCCCGAACGTGGGTCTTAGTTAGAAGGCCTGGGCAGTCTAAGGGACCTCTGACAGTGGAACCAGGATATATCCTGGTGCACAAAAGGACTTTGGGAGCACATTCCTCTCTTAACATAGAGGAAGGAGGGAGGGCCTAGTTTGTGCTCCAAATGACTTGAGAGATTTAGATGACCTCTCCTAGAAGGCATCACCCTACATGTGGAGTGGGGGAGGGAACTGGAATCAATATGTAAAATAAATAATAAATTTTATATATATATATATATAAATTACAAAAGAGAACAAAACCAAGAATAGTCAATGAATGCTAAAAAAAAGATACTATTTGTAAAACTATAAATTCCTGACTCTAAAGTCATTTCCAAAGCTTTAGCAATGGCAGCCACTGTCTGTCTGCCGCTTTCCTTAGGTGAACAGAAAACAGAGATAGTCCATTCCTCCCAAGGCCATTGCACTAAACATAGGCATGGTGGCCACCCATGATTGCCAGTTAGAAAGTCGGTTAATGCTTTAGCTAGGTGATAGGAATTTAAGTGTTGACAGGGTTAAGAGGAGAAACATTGTCAGTGAACACAGAGATTTGCTAAGGTGGGATGATCATGTATCCTGTTTTACTAGGGACAGTCCGAGCCTGTGATATTTGTCTTGATGTAACTGGCAACAGAGTCTTATTTTTCTCTAAAAAAAAAAAATTTCCGTTTCAGCCGTGAACTTTATGATCACTTTAAGGTTCTGAAATACTTTTGTTTTTAAAAATCTTTCATTTTTTTCTTTTCAGCGTGTCATCGTGCAGAGAATTTTGCCTTGTTTGACTTCAGAATTTGTAAACCCTGATATGGTACCTTTTGTTTTGCCTAATGTTCTACTGATTGCTGAGGAATGCACCAAAGAAGAATATGTCAAATTAATTCTGCCTGAACTTGGTCCTGTATTTAAACAGCAGGAGCCAATCCAGGTATGTTGTGAGCTCTTCTGAGCATTTATACAGTTATAGTGATAACTATTCTCACTTCCAAATACTGAGTAAGCACTCAGGAGGCAGAGGCAGGAGGATCTCTGTGAGTTCAAGGCTAGCCTGCTCTACAGAGTGAGTTTCAGGTCAGCCATAACTACAGAGAAATCCTGTCTCAATAAAAATAAAAAACAAAACAAAACAACAACAATAACAACAACAAAAAAAAACAAACAAAAATTGAATAAGTAGGGGCTAGAGAAATGGGTTAGCCCTTAAGAGCACTGGCTGTCCCTTGGAGGGCCTGGGCTCAGTTCCCAGCACCCACAATCACATGGTGGTTCACACCATTTGAAACTCCTGTCCTAGTGGATCGAAGTCTGGACTCCGGAACCAGATACAGACAGACTTTCAGGCAAAACACCCATACACACCAAAAATAAATTTAAAATTTTAAATGTTTGAAAAAAAAATTGAGGTAAGTATATTAGTCCCCCCCCCCACTAGACAGAAAGCTACTTTGCATACGTTTGAAGCATTGCTAAAATTATGATTAAATTTAGCAAATGAATGTCTGTGACTTTCCATAAATCAATGACTTAGAAAATAAATGGCAATCAAATTTTACTTGTGTTACATTGTCCCTAATTGAAAGATAGCAGTTTGGAAAAGTAATACTCACATTTCTAGTTTCAGGTACTTTTATTGGTTTGCTATCCCAGTAGTTAATTTGCAGATGATTTGTGTCACTTGTTCCTCTTGATTTTTTTTTTTTTCTCTAATAAACTTTCATTAAAAGAGGGAAATGTGTAAAGCATGGGAATAAGATATATATACATAATCTGTATGTATATGAAAAATGCAAATTCTGTATGTAATGTGCTTGTGTAAGTGAAATACAGAGGTTTGTTGCAGTTTGTATTTGTCTTGAGTTTAAGAACAGTGGGTTCTCACCTGGACTTGAGTCTGGGTCTGTCTCCTTTCCAGAACTATGTAGTAATCATTATCATCTGAAAGCTTGCAAGCCTCGCTTGTGAAATGCAGAGTTGTTGGCATAGACTAAGTATCACAAGGTGTTTCTGATACTGGTGACAGTAGCTTAGCAGTCAGTTTCTAACAGTGATGTAATGGCTTTGTGGCTCTTTGTAGTTCTTGCCCTGAGAGTACAGCATTTCTTTTTAATTGTTAAGAATGAGCATATAAGGTGTTAATTATCATTGTGACGTCTTTGAACACCGTGCATTTGAGTAATTCCCCTGCTATCCCTCGTCCCTTCTCCCCTCTTTTTGAGATAGTGTTGCACCATGTAGCTCTGACTCACTTGTCACTCACTGTGGAGTCCAGGCTAGCCTCCAAATGACAAAGATGCAGCTGCTTCTGCTTCTGTCTCCTCAGTGCTGGGGTTAAAGGCCGCTGCCAGTTCTTGTGGCTCATCCCCATTTCTTTTCCGTAAAGAGTAGACTGTAGGACGCAGTCGGGGGCGTTCCTACTAACCAGTGGAGGGCCACAGGACAGAACTGTGAGATTAGAGCAGGGCTTCCTGGCAGTTGTCACAGTGTCCAGAGGAAAGTTGGTGACATCACCCTACCTAGATTGTTCATGATAAAATTCTAAGACATGTGATCTCAGTTCCCATTTGACCCCGCGGTTTTTGTTTTTGTTTTTGTAATGGTAAAGTTTGATTGTTGACTCAATACAAGGCAGAATCTCCTGAGGAGAGACTCTCATCGTGATTGTCCAGATCAGGGTGTCCTGTGGCCATGCTTGTGAGGGCTTCGTTTAAGCAGATGAGTTGAGGTAGGAAGACCCATCCTGAATGTGGGCAACAACAACAGTTCACGGGCTGTGTCCTGTGCTGAGTGAAACCACACAAAGACACTGTATTAGATATAAAGCTGTTGGCCTGTTTCTAATGTTTCTCATTGGCTGGCTCTGTCTTAACGATTAACCCATTTCTATTAATCTAAGTACTTCTACGTGGTCTCATCTTACCGGAGAGAGGAGCTGGCGTTCTCTCCGTCCTCCCATCTTGGATCTCTTCCCAACTACTTCCTCTTTCCTCCTAGTCCTACCTATCTTGCTTTCCTATTGGCCAACAGTGCTTTATTCATTAACCAATAAGAGAAACATATTTACAGAATGACATCTCCCATCGTGTGTGTGTGTGTGTGTGTGTGTGTGTGTGTGTGTGTGTGTGTGTGTGTGTGTGTGTCGTTCCTGCTACTTGACTTTCCTGCACATTTGACCAGGGATTGTGATCCAAATAAGACCTTTTTCCTCTGAGTTGCCTTTGTCACAGTATTTATCACAGCATCAGGAAATGAAACTAAGGTAACCCTGTATTCTTTTTCCTCTATGTTTTCAGTTAATAAGCCCTCCTAAAAAATTTTAATTGAGCATTGGCTCTTCAGAGGACCTGGGTTTGATTTCTAGCAACCACATGATCACTCACAGCCATCTGTGACTCTAGTACTGCTTTCTGGCCTCCATGTAGACACAGACATATTTGCAGTTAAACCAGCTATACATATAAAAATAAATAATTGAAAATAATCTCACCTAAGTATTTTGGTTTGTTAATTACAGTTTAGGCATGTAAGAGCAGCTAGGAAAAATATTAGGAACAATTAAAAATGTTTATTTCTAGAATTTTTTCTTACAAATCTTTTTATTTCTATACTTTCATGGGAACTAAGTGATAAAATTTCTCCTTTTGAGACATCTAACTTTGCTTCTCTTTGGCTTCTGTTTTTTTAAACCCAGTAGCTTTCTGGGTAGTTAGAACTTGTAGTGGAGTCATGTGTTACTGTAGACATGTTGGAGGTTAGTCTATTTAAATGAGTAAGTTGGAAACAGTTAAGTGCTGCCCTTATAGAAATGTAAGAGACTTGATGCATGTGTTTTTGTCTTCCATGCCTTCAGGCTAGCAACATGGTGAGTGTCAAAATATGCTACTTATTCTTCTGAAAATACTACATTTTGGCATATGTTGAATTTCTTAAAGATTGTAGATTTTAATACATCTTCTCTTCTTTCACACAGATTTTGTTGATTTTCCTACAAAAAATGGATTTGCTCCTAACCAAAACCCCTCCTGATGAGATAAAGAACAGTGTGCTGCCCATGGTCTACAGAGCCCTGGAGGCTCCTTCCATTCAGATCCAGGTACAGGGTCTCATTTGTTTTTCTCTTCATGATGGTCTTAAGGTAGGAGAAAGAAATAGTTGGGCATATTACAGAGTTAAATCTTAACATGGTGTATGTACTCAATAGTTAATATATTTATTGCATTACCCTGCTGGTTTACTGTTTTCACTATATATTGACTTCTAAGTAAGGAATTGGAGGAGGCTAGAGAGTTAGGAGTAAGTGCTATTGGTTTGTTTTGAGATGGTCTTATTGTGTAGCTCAGGCTGAACTTGTTCACAGAGCTCCAAATGCTCTAGCCTCGGAAGTGCTAGGATTAATGATGGATGCACCCCACCACACCTGGTAGGTGTTGCTCTTACAGAGAGCACAGCTTAGGTTCCCAGCATCCATGTCAGGCTGCTTGCAACTGTCTATAACTCCAACTGCAGGGGTCCAATACCTTGTTCGGGACTCCCCGGCGCCTGCATTAACACAGGCATAAACCACATTCAGGCACACATACATGGAATTAAAGGGGGGGGGGGGAAGGGAGGGGAGTCCAGTGTGGTAGCACATACCTGTAATCCTCGCACTTGAGGTGTAGGGACAGGAAGACCAGAAATTGGAGGCTCGCCTGGGATTCATGGGACCCTGTCTCAAAAACACTATGGCTAGGATTGTAGGTTTGTACTGCCTTGCGCACATCTGATTCTACCGTGTATTTCAATCACATTTTTGATGCATTTTTCTCTTATTTAAGAGTGTGAGGTTGAATTTTTCCCCTTGTAATTAACTATGGCACAAGTTGAAGTTCTCTTGAGTTACAGTCTTTAATCCCAGGACTTAGGCTAAAGCCTGGGCTACATAAAGACCGTACCTCAGGGAAAAAGTAGTACAGAGCTAGCTGTGATTATAGCTTCTTGGAACAGTAACACAGGCCCTGTGTAGCCATGCCGTTTTCAAATGATTGTAAATATTATTTTTATTTAAAAAAATTTGTTGTAGCAACCAAATAATGTAAAGCATATAGAAGTTTATTTTATACTGTGACAAATTAGCTGAGTGTGTGAGAGGAAGGTGGACTGCTTTTCCTTGAGACTGACCACATTTATTTTTTCAATAGGAGCTCTGTCTAAACATCATCCCAACTTTTGCAAATCTTATAGACTACCCGTCCATGAAAAATGCTTTGATTCCAAGAATTAAAAATGCTTGTTTACAAACATCTTCCCTTGCTGTAAGTATTTATACATTCGTACTAGTCTTTCACGCTTACTGGTTGACATCATTTTCCCATTGAGTAATAACTAGCTTATGGTTTGTTTATGTCTTGGTTGTAGATAACTTGTATGTAGTATTATACGTTTTTTCATGTAACTTACTTTTACATGTATTTGCTGTGTGTGTGAATGTGAGATCATGTTTGAGTGCCTGCTGTTGTAGGCATGTGGAAGTCAGGGCTGTTTGTGGGAGTTGGTTCTCTCCTACCTACTGTGTGGTTCCAGGGATCAAACTCACATGGTCAGTTTGGCAGCTCTGTTACCTGCTGAACCCTCTTTTCGGCCCTTTGTGAAATTTGTATTTCCCAGAACTTAATACATTTGCCTTTTATAAAGCTTGATCATTTTATCCATCCATCTGTATTTTGTGGTGTGTGAATTAGAAAAATACACATTAGTAGCCTAATAGACTCACAGGCAAACATACTTTCCAGACATCTAATCCATTTCAGTTGATGTTCCTTGGTAGAAAAGCCCTGAGATGGAAGGTAACATTGAAGTAGTAGGGAAACCCCTTACTGAAATGCAAGCATGGAGGGGAATGGGTTTATTCTGATGTTGTCACTAACCGTCTGTCAGCTGAGCAAGTCCACAGATGGTAAAATTTCAGTTTTTAAAATGGCATTCCAGAAACCTTATGCTTTATTTATCTTCACATAAATCTTCTCAAAGCATTCTTCAGTTCTTTCTAAGTGTGCAGGGCTATGTGAATGTGGTGGCTGCAGACACGTGGTGATTGCACCAGTACCCACCGGTGTCTGTGACTTCTAAAAATGCCAGCTGGCCCTGGTCCCTCCAGACAGGGTGCTTAGGAGGATGTTCGTGCAGTGAATACGGTTTAGAATAGTAATTCTGGGGTGAATTTGCATGTTATCTCACTTTTAAAAATTATTTTAGGTGGAAGTTTCAGTGCTTCTGGCTTACCTTTGTGTGGCAGATAGGGCATCTGTAGTGTATTTACAGCCTTACTCTCTAGGGTCTGGCAGCTTTAACTAGGAAATGCCTAAAGCACAAACCATTGTTTAAGATTGCCTGAAAATGAAGAAAACAGCACATAGCTAGGTATAATGTTTCAACAGGTATAGTTAAGATTTATCTAATATTTGTACATCATAAAGGAAAATAAAACTTAACCAGCATTTCTGGTTTATGTTGAGTTGATGTGATGGTTCTTTACTATAATAAATTGACTCTGAGAACACGTTAAACCTGCAGATGGTATTTACATTATTCTGTGCATACATTTCAGAAAATTGTTGAGCAAATTGAAATTTTTTTTTCCTGTACAACTATTAATCGATGGTATTATTTCCTGCTTAGTTTTTTAAGACTTGAGTTTTATTGATATGGTTTAATTAATACTATGGACATGACTCAGAGATACTCCTGTTTTTTGGGGGAGGGAGGACTTGGTATTAAAAGCTGAATCCATGGTCTCTCGCATGTTGGAAAAGCACCCCTACTGAACTGTATTCCCAGCCCTCTCCCTCTCTTTTGTGTGTGGCTTTGTTTTTAAGTAGCCCAGGCCGAAGCTAGCCTTGAACTTGTTCTATTTACTGGCCCTTGAATTCCGGTCTTCCGGAGTGCTGGGGTGATAGGTGAGCATCACTGTGCCAAGCCCCAGCCCACTTCTTTTTACCTTAGGACACGGTCTTTCTGAATCGCCCCGTCTGGCCTTGAGCTTGAGATCTTCTTACTCCATCTCCCAAATAACAGGGTCACAGTTGTCTGCCAACAGCCCTGACTTAAGGTATCCCAGTTAAAGGGGCCAGGAAGATGGCTCGGTGGGTAAAAGTGCATGCTGCAAGCCCGACCACCAAGTTTGCTCCCCATAACCTACTTGCTAGAAGAAGCGAACCAACTGTGGCATGCTGCAGCCACCCACATAAATCGTTTAGTAAATGTAACCAAGTTCAGCTAACCTAGGGTATGCTGTGCATTAAAAGTTGAATGAATATAAAAATTTTTAAAGAGCTTACAAATGTTGAACTTTAGTGAGTATATTAAAGATGTATTTAGAAATACAAAATTCTATGTAAGACATGGTGGATAATCTTTGAGATTGGAAGCATCCAGGGCAGTATGGCCACAGATTAATTTGGACAATTTCAGTTAAAATACTTAGTTTTAAGAATGAGTTGAACCTCCCTTAAAGTAGCTGAATCACTGTGACACTGGCTGCTTGGTGGAATACATCCCCTTTATAGTTACATTTTGATAATAAACACATATAAAAGCCTGTAAAGTCCTAGAGGACTGGGATTGTGGCTCACTGACAGCTTGGATGATAGGGTGCAAGGCTCTGGATCGTGTTCCTAGGCACCATAGGCACGAATGACCATTACAGGGTTGAAGTTCTGTCTTGCCTTTATCAATAGTATCTCAGTTGAAGTATCTGCAGTTCTTTCTGAAACATGCCAGGGAAATTAGTGAATGAAAACACTTCTCTTTTTGTTTGTTTATTTGTTTTGTTTTTCAAGGCAAGGTTTATCTGTGTAGCTCTGGCTGTCCTGAAACTCACTCTGAGGCCAGGCTGACCTTGAATTTTGAGATTCACCCGCCTCTGCCTCCTATGCGCTGGGATTAAAGTAGTGTGCCACTACCGCCTGTCAAAATTATTAAGTTTGCTTATAATCTACTTTAGTAAACCCCCTTTTCATTGGGATTTTTAGCATATACCTATTTGAAGACTACATTTATACTGAAGTATTTCATTTTACATCATAAAAACTTTACATGACAAAATTACATGCATTTTTAATCTCTTTTTTAATAGGTTCGTGTGAATTCATTAGTCTGTTTAGGAAAGATTTTGGAGTACTTGGATAAGTGGTTTGTTCTTGATGATATCCTGCCCTTCTTACAACAGATTCCCTCCAAGGAGCCGGCAGTCCTCATGGGAATTTTAGGTAACTGAAAACTTAATGCCATTTGGTATCTTGATTTTACATAATAGTTTTGTAATAAAATGTTCATTCTATAAACTATTGTGCTTTGTTTTTAAGTATATGTCATTATGGAGTTGTAGAATGATTAGATAAATGCCACAATATAACTTTTCTCTATTAACTTTAACAAAAGAGACATACTCTTGACATTTATAGATGAGAAGGCTGGCCCTATAGTAGAGCGCTTGACTCATAGGCATGCTCTTCATTTGAGTCCCAGGATTGGGGAGTAGGGAGCAGATCATTTTGGTTGTGTGGTAGTGTGTACTTTTCTTCCATAAAGTAGTGTCAAGTGTAGAGGCAAAGTGCAGACTCTATTCTTCACAGCACCTGTATTTACACATCTTGAAATAGAATCTGAAATAGATGATTTCAGGGCAAGGGGCTCTTCTGTAGCCTGATTGCTGCCTTATCATAACCACGCCTTTGGTTTTGTGTTGTCATTAAGTGTGCTCTTAAACTAAAAGAGAACAGGGTAAACGTGCTATGGGGTCACTGTGGTCCACAAAGAAGAGAGCGTCCTTTTGTAATAGTAGGATATCCGTGCCACACCCATTACCAAAGGCTTTCTGTAGATAGTGTTCATGGTTCCTATGAACTCTGGGTGCCAATGTCTAACGTTTATTACACTGTTCTCTTTCAGGTATTTATAAATGTACTTTTACTCACAAGAAACTGGGAATCACCAAAGAGCAGCTGGCTGGAAAAGTGCTGCCTCATCTCATTCCTCTGAGTATTGAGAACAATCTTAATCTCAATCAGGTGGGAATATTTTATGTGTATTTCTTTTTCTTCTTGCTACTTGCATTATGTGCTTTTATTATATTAGAAGTATAGGTGGCCAAAACAAGTACAACATGCCACAGAGTTAATAAAGGTTATGGAGCAGAAGGATAGACATTAAAGACTTTCCTGGAGGAGGTAAATGAGCAGGATGCTAGATGTTGAGCTTCTTCTCTGTACTTGAAATTTGGGGCCATGTATTGATACGAACAGAGTCGCAGACGAGTTTGGATATTATTGCTACATAAAAAAATCACCACAAACAAATGTTTTAGTATTTTTAAGCAGTGCATACTTACTAATCTTACATTTTCTATGAGTCAGCCACACCAGGGCTTGGCTTAGTTGAATTTGTTACTCAAGAGTTTCTTACCCCGCTGTAATCGAGAACTCGAGTCTCATTTGAATGTCCATCTGGGGTCCTTGCTTCTTAGTTTTCTTAAATCATTGTTGTAGGATTTGGCCCCTTGTGGGCTGTTGGTCTTAGCTGTATGTTAGCTAGATGCTGTTGTCAGTTCTGTACATATGGCTCTCTCCCAAATAGCTGACATCACAGTGCTTTGTTATGTACAAACTAAGTGGTATCCTGGGTCTTATCAATAGGCGAGTTCACAGTGACGTAAATAGCAGGGAGAAGGGTGATTAGGAACCATTTTAAGAGCCTGTTTATCCAGAGAAGGAACAGTTCAGTGATGAGTCTGATGCAGTGAGCTGAAGTATGGTGATAATGGATAGACTTAAATAGGTGTGTGCTTCAGGCATTGAACTGTGAGGATGTGGTAAATGTTTGATCAAAGGGAAAATGTCTGTAGAATTATTACAGAATTATATCTCCGCATGCCCCTGTTGGTCTAGTTTTCGTAGCTATACTTGCACTGAGATCTTGGCAAATATAGTCTCTTTGAGGTTGGGTGTTCTGTTTATTCTTCATTATAGCCCAGTCATAATGCAGTTCTAGAAAGAGAAACTGACTCAAAAGAAAACAGTAGAAACCTGGTGTCTAATGAAACATGTAAAGACTGAGCAAAGTTACTGTTTGAGAGTCGGTGGTAGATTGTCAGGGAAGACTTAGAATTCGGGTGGGAAAGTGAAAAACGGCCAGGAGGAATGAAGAGCTGGGGGAGAGGAAGGTTTGGGCATGGGGCAGAGTTCTTGGCAGGCAGACTCTTGAAGGTGAAGAAATGTGGAGTTGATTAGACACAACATTGCATCTGAAGTAGTAAGAGGCAAGCTTACTACTTCTTGATGTAATGCTTTCTGTTTATCTTGGGTATCAGGTTAGGGTTGGCAAATGGGAGACACTGAATATAAAGAGGAATAGCATACTATGCCCAGAACAGTTCTCAAGTTTTTGTCATTTTCTTTGTCTGATTGAGGATGTTTTAAAACACTTCCAGGGGCCTGGAGAGATAGCACATGTTGTCCTTGCAGAGGACCCAAGTTTGGTTCTTTGTACCCATGTGGTGGTTCACATCCATCAGATCCAGGGGATCTGATGCCTTCTTTTGACCTCTCTGGGCACCAGGCATGCACATGGTGCACATACATATGTGTGGGTAAAACATTGATACACATAAAACAAAATAGAATGAAATTTAAAATTCCAGGAGTCAGAAGCTTTGCCAGCTATGATGTCCCCTGTGTACAATGTCCCCTTGCTTTGGTGTTGTGAGTTTAAGTGGACTGCTCTTGTGACTTCGGTGCTGAGTCCTGTTGCGGTGGGAAAGTGGAGCCTGTTAGGATCACCTTACTGAGCTGTCCTACTTGGTTCCATCCTCACCATATCCATCTCTTCCCATGCCAGTTCAGCTCTTTCATTGCCGTCATAAAGGAGATGCTGAGCAGACTGGAGTCGGAACACAGGACTAAGCTGGAGCAGCTTCACGTGATGCAGGAGCAGCAGAGGTGAGCAGCATCTGCACACGCGCACACTGTCCAGTGGGGTCCAGGGCAGCTCATGATTGATTTTCTAGAACATTGACTAGAAAGATTGATGGATTTTTCATTTGCTATATATGAAGCTTTTAAAAATTTTTCAATAGATTTGAAATCCATTAAAATAGGATGTTGTTGAAAATATAGTGCAGATGTGAAATATGATATGATCTTAACACTTTATACATGAGGAAAACTTTGTTTCTGAGAATATCTGTTGTCAGCAACAGCCAGTGGCTCTGTCAACTCTGGTTGCTGAACATTAAGAACAAGAACATAGGTATTTTTGGAATCTGGGAACCCCTCATGTTAGCCCCAGGAATATGTAAGCATGTGGTATCTACAACATTTGCCTCTTTATTTTAGAGGAGTTTTCACAATTACTACAGAAAACACTGGCATTCAAAAGACAAAGATGGAAGGTTTTCATTGGAATTGCTGTTTTATTCACGTCAAAGTGTTACTATATTATTTGCTCCAGTATAAACACACGAGTTAAGGATGGGTGTGTGTGTGTGTGTGTATGCATGCATGCTTTACAATCAAATGTCTTTTAACAACTGTTGCTCCTTCCTCAGCAATCAACAATTCAAAGACAACACAATAACATACAGTATTCATACTCTCTGTATTTTCCATCTTTATGTGGCTTGTTTTGTTTTTAACTACTACTTTTATGTTTTGGATTTTTGTAGACAGGGTTTCTCTGTGTATCTTTGGCTATCCTGAAACTTGCTCTGTAAACCAGGCTGGCCTAGAAATCATAGAGATCTGCTGGCCTCTGCATCTGGAGTGCTGGGATTAAAGGCGTGTCTCTTCTCTCCCAAGCCTATGCATATTTCAAGCACAGTGTAAACCGTTGAGAGGTTTTGTTTCTCTGAATCTGTCTTTACTGTATATCTCTATTTTTTCTGACCACATGAGTCTTTAATCTGCTGAACAGCATGGCTAAAATTAAAGCAGTAGCGGACCTGCCCTATTCCTTGGCTTTCTGATGGTCTAGCTTCATGGCGGTGGGAGCCATGCTTATTGCCACAACTCTGCAGAGTTCCTAGGTCCATGTCACCACCAAGAAGCATGCTACCGGCTGCTCATAAAAACCCTTGGTTTGGTAGCAGGGCCTCTTAAATGAGCCTTGTGGTTTTTGCCGCTGATACTGAGTCAGGAAGCCTCTCTTAAAGTTTGCCTCTAGCAAACAGAGCCCACCTGAGAAAATGATGCTACCAGAAGCCTTGCTTGATTCTGTTCCTTTGTTTTCGCAATTCCCTTTTAACTGTCAGGTTTCACGTGGAAATTCTTGCCACACCTTAGGGGCACCATTTGCAGGTGGAGTTTTTATCCAGCCTGGTCCTGCTGCTCTTCAGTCCCAAATAAACACACTGAGGCTTATATTAATTATAAACTGTTTGGCCAATGGTTCAGCCTTCTTATTGGCTAGCTCTCTCTTAATTATTAAACCATTTCTATTAAACTGTATTGCCACAAGACTGTGGCTTACCCATAATGCTTTTCTGGCATGTTAACCCTTCAACTGCTACACTGCATCTCCCTTGAGACTGTATTTTCCTCTCTCTTTCTCTTTCTCTTTCTCTCTGTTTCTCTGTCTCTCTGTCTCCCTGTCTCCCTCTGTGTATGTGTCTTTCTCTTGCTCTCTGTTTTTTTTTCTCTCTCTCTGTCTCTCTCCTTCTCCTACCAGAATTCTCTTAATCTAATAGCCCTGCCTATACTTTTTGCCTAGCTACTAGCCAATCAGTGTTATATATGAGAAACATATTCACAACATACAGAAGGATATTTCCTATCACCAGACAGCTTTGGAGGTGGCTCTCTCCTACAGTGTTGAGCCAGCATCTGTTTTTGCTGTGTTTACTACAGAATAATTGGCCCCGGGCTTCCAGTTGATTCTCTGGTCTTTGCTATAGGACTGCTAGATTTACAGATGCATGCCACCACATCTGGTTTTTTACATGGGTTCTGGGGTCACTAGGCTTTCATGGTTCCATGTAAGGAGTATGGTTTTTTCCTCCCGCCGCTGGTCTTGTCCCGCCACAGCGCCAGCCCCAATTAACACAGAGACTCTGTATTTGATATAACGCTGTTGGCCAGGTACTAGTTTCTTATCGGCTTAAGTATCAACCCATTTCTATTAATCTAGTATTTCCATGTGGTCTTCTTACCGGGCAGTGGGGCTGGCGTTGTGCTCTCCCTGGCCTCTCCATCTTGACTCCTCCTCTCTACTTCCTCTTTCCTCCTTGTCTCCTAGTCCCTCCCATCTTCCTTTCCTATTGGCCAACAGTGCTTTATTCATTAACCAGTATGAGAAACATATATACATAATGACATCTCCCATCAGTTCCAGATGTTATTATCATCATTTTTATTATTATTTGGGCAAAATAATGTGAGAAAATAATGGGGGAAGTCTGAGCTAAGGAATGAAGTTGAAGTTTGTTTCTTCTAACTACCTTTCCTTAATTTTGTCCATCTTGTAGGTCTTTGGATATAGGAAATCAAATGAACACTCCCGAGGAGATAAACGTGACACATGCTGGAAGTCAGGTAAGAAGACATTCATTTTTATAGAAAATGCTTGAGAGTGTGCTGCATTTAAGAGTCCTTAATCTTTGAGGAACAATGGCAGTTTTGCTGGGATATCTTCAAGTGTTGGGCTTGTATATCAGCAGATTGACAAGGTCTTTAACAACATTGGCGCAGACCTTCTAACTGGTGGTGAATCAGAAAATAAAGAAGATGGGCTACAAAATAAACAGAAAAGAGTAAGTTCCTTTACTTTAAACAAAGCACTTCTGCTGTGAGACTTCCTATAAAGCACATATATTTACTGGGAAATACTGTATGGCCCCTGTAACTGTTTGTGAACTGTGTTGGGAAGGAGTGTGTTTTGGGTTCCTTTGTTTAGCAACATTGATGAGTATAAAGACAGACACAATTCAGTGCCGACATTCACCCCAAAAGAACATGTTTGTTTAATTCTTCCGTAGTCATTCATTGACTTAGTTTTTTGTGGTATTAAGGTAGAACTGAGGGCCTTGGAAATTCTAGGCTAGTTCTCCTGCACTGAGTTCTATCCTCAGTCCATATTTTGCTTAAATATGCTTTACTTATTCATTTGTTCGTTCATTTGTTTATTTATGTGTTTTAAATGTGGGTATACGCATGTATGCATGCACTCCAGTGCATTCATGAGATGCTCAGAGGACAACTGTGGAAGTCATTTGTTGCCTTTCCACCATGTAAGACCCAGGGATTGAACCCAGGTCATCTGCGTTGGTGCTAAGCTCCTCTACCGGCTGAGCCTTCTCACTTGCTGCTTTTCCTGTGTGTGTGTGTTGGGGGCGGGGCAGGGGAGGGACATGGAGAGAACTCGAGGACACATACCTGGTGCGTGTGCGTGTGTGTGTGTGTGTGTGTGTGAGAGAGAGAGAGAGAGAGAGACAGAGAGAGAGAGGACAACTCAGGTCAGTGCTTGCTCTCTGCATTAAACGTTTGAGATGAGGTTTCTCATTCATAGCTGTGTGTCCAGGCTAGGTCACAGATGCATGCTGCTGTGTCTCGCTTTACTTGGTTCTGGAGTACAAACTTAGGCCTTCCAACTGCTTTACACATTAGCTATCCCTCTAGCTCTTCTTTTCTCCTTTTTGTTCGTTTGAGACAGGATTTTTCTGTGAGGCCTTGCCTGTCCTGGAACTACTTTGTGGACTAGGCTGGCCTTGAACTCACAGAGATCCTCTACCTTCAGAAGGCTGGGATTAAAGGCGTGTGCTATCACATTCAGCTGTAGCTTTTCTTTTTTAGCTGTGTTTTGAGACACGGTCTAAGTTGTCCTGACTGGCCTTGAACTCACTGTAACCCAGACAGTGGTCCTCCTACCTCAGGCTTTCATATATCTGGATTACCAGTCTGTGCCACTAGGCCTAGCTCATGAGCTTCTTCAACTAAGATATAGATTTGAACAAGAATGAAATCAGTTACTCTTAAAGAAACACTAATTCTAATGAACTTCATTTTACACTAGAGACATTGTAGCAGATCCTGTGAGTTTCCACCTGAGGGCACTTGTGGTCACTAACCCTGGATTGCTTGCTTTCCACTGAAGTAGTAAGCATTGCTAAATGTGCTCTGGTACACACACCTACAGATGGAGTATAAAGTTGTGATTGATTTTTGTTTTGTTTTGCTTTGCTTGAAGGCGTCACTTACACTTGAAGAAAAACAGAAATTAGCAAAAGAGCAGGAGCAGACACAGAAGCTGAGAAGCCAGCAGCCTCTCAAGCCCCAGGCCCACACTCCCACTGCGCCCGTCAAACAGGTGCGGTTGTTGTTGCTGCGTACCGTCTTCTAGCATGCTTAGTAGAAAGGAACAGGGGTGAACAGCAGATGCTTGTGCAGATGCCTTTAAAGGATAATGTGATAAAGTAGTGACTAAAATGTGTGACTTAGGCTTTCCAGACACACCTGAGTGACCTGCCCACATGTGGTGTTTATTCTCAGTTCTGTCACCAAAGAGGAAATGGGGTGAAGAAGCTGCCTGTTTCTGGCTTTTCCATTCTAGCTGGCTTTGTAGCTCAGCTTAAGAAGAGGCACCTACATGACCTGACCACATGGATTCCCTCTGTGCTCTGGGCATCGTCCCAGGTGCTGGCTCCCAGGTGCTGGCTCCCAGGTGCTGGCTCCCAGGTGCTGCCCTGGAGAACGGACCCTGCCGGCAGAGTTTACACTCACTGGTGTAGCTCAGATGTGTTCTAACTTACTACTTCCTGCTCTCACTAGTTTTAATCACCACAGTTCTTCCTCAGAGGAAAAAGTGTTTGTGGGCTAAGGGGAAAAATTGAGAGTAACTGTTAGGTACTGGCAGAAAAAAAAAAAAAAAAAGATAATTTCTAAAAATTTTGATGAAATTCAAAATAAAAAATATAAAATTATCCTGTTTATGATAATGAAAAGAGTACAGTTCTATCTTGGGAGCATTTCACCTAATTGTGGTTTAAATTTACCATTACTACCATCAAATTCATTACCAGTATTTGCTTACAAAAACTGTACGGAAATAAGTAGTAGTCATTATTTAGTGTGTAGGCTGTAGTTTACTAATTTAGTGTAGATCATCAGCTTAACTATAGTTTGTCCTTTATCATGCGGTCTGTCGATGCTCACTGATTGTAAAGTCCTTTGGATTTCTTGGAGGTAAAGTACTTGCTCCTGTCTTTCAGACTAAGGACTTGACTGACACGCTGATGGACAACATGGCCTCGTTGAGCAGCCTTTCTGTTAGCACTCCCAAACTTTCTGCTTCAAGTACCTTCACGTCTGTTCCTTCCACGGGCCTCAACATGATGTTCTCTACACCAATTGATAATACAAAGAGAAATTTGACAAATGGCCTAAATGCCAACATCGGCTTTCAGACTTCGGGGTTGAACATGCCGGTCAATCCGAACCAGAACTTCTTCAGTGGCACGAGCACAGCTGGAGTGAGCACAATGGCGCTGGGAGCAGCCCCCACTCTGTCAAACTACAGTTCTGTGAATGTTCCTCCTGCTCGTGTGAAGCAGGCTCAACAGAGACCGACCGATATGTCTGCCCTCAATAATCTCTTTGGCCCTCAGAAACCCAAAGTTAGCATGAACCAGCTATCCCAACAGAAACCAAATCAGTGGCTGAATCAGTTTGTGCCTCCTCAAGGGCCCCCAGGTCTGGGCAGCGCAGCCATGGGCACACAGGTGAATGCGATGGGACAGACTGCCTTTGGTATGCAGGGTAACCCTTTCTTTAACCCACAGAACTTTGCACAGCCACCGGCTACTATGGCCAGCAGCAGCTCAGCTAGCAATGACTTGAAAGACCTTTTCGGGTGAGCTGTCCGAGCTGCTCTTTGGAGGCTCCCTGCCCTTTTCCGTCCCCGGTAAACAGATTTACATCGCTGTGCAGCTGGCTTGAAGAAACTGCTTCTGGGGGAGACAAAGAGCACGTGCCTCCATGCCAGCCAGCGCAGGAGTTGTGTGGATCCTAGCCAGTCCATTTTTTAAAGCATTGAGAATTTTCTCCTCTTACAAACTCCTCTTCAGGGTTTTCAAGATCCGGCCCTCACTAGGCTCAAAGTGCAAAAGGACCACCGAGTTGTCTTGGGTAGCAGTTTTTAACTCAGATGTTTATTTTGCCGTGTAAATCTTCATGTGATTAGAAACTGTGGGTTGATGGTGACTGGAAGCTCACCTGTTACCTACTACCTTTGTATTCCTTTGTCTTCATTTAATGTGAAGGATCTTGATGCTGTGTTGATTGGCTTGCAATTATACAACAGTAGATGGTATCGTGAAGAGGAAGGATTGAGTTGCTTTTTCTAGTCTTATTTTTCAAAGAAACTTATGCTTCATACAAAAGACAGTAAAGATGCTGCAAACCTTAACTTATACTAATTTTATTGATTTAAAAACATTATTGACCATTTTTAAATGCAAACTAATCATTGTGAGTTATATTTTAGCATGATCTGCCTCAAATAGCAATGTATTTTCTGCCTTTACTTGAATATATTTAGGATCACCTTTTCCCTGTTGTATCACAGGAGAGCCGTGTACTGACTTGTACAGAAAGCAGGCGAAGCACCCGGTTACGGCTTTCTCGACCACTGCCTTCATACTCGAGTTTGAATTCAAACTTCTGAAGTTGCAGCATATATGAATTACATTTTCAAACGGAGATTTGTAAAAACAATAATTAAACTATATTTAATGAGTAAACTTTTGAGATTTCTGCCATATTGTTTCAAGTGTGATAAACTCAGAAAATGAGTGAGCCATTGGATACCAACAGATTGAATGTTAGCTTGCCATATAGTTCGGCCTCGTTAGTTACTACTACTGAAGTTTAATTCTTTTCTAGGAGTTCCAGAAACATTTTGTTTTGTTTGGACATTTTAGTGTCTGTAAATCAGTCAGTGTTAGAAATGGGGAAATCAACTCTTAACAGGACACGCCTCACTTTCGAGAACATTTCTCTGATGTTTGTCTTTAATTTGCTGATTCTACCACAGAGCCTTATGCTACAACTGTCCTTTGTATTTTTAAAAATTATATTCCACGGCTATGTGATAACTAAAGAACTCTTATTAAACTGTGTATGTATTATAGTTGCTGCCATACAGTTTGTGGTTTTTAATTATCTGGAACCAGCAATCATTTAAAATAAATCATATGAAGTTTAGTGTGCTGATACTAAGTTTATTAAATGGCTGAATGTTCACTGAAAAAAAAAACATACACACATGTGCACGTGATGGGTGTCCCGCGAGGCACGTGATGACAAAGTACAGGTTCATGCTGTCACCAGTGCTGATGGCATCCACCTAGAACAGCGAGCGCACTTAGGAAATTTGAGGCATGCCTGCTAGAGAGCAGGAGGATGCAAGCGTTCATTCAAGAAACAAAGTGGCATTTGTCAAATCGTCACAACTTCACCTGACTCTAAATGTTTTATGTGGAATAAAATTGTTATTGAAGAACATTTCTTTTCAACAGTTCAGAAACTACTGTTTATTAAGACATTCTTCCTAGTTTTTGTGTGTGGGTGTTTTGCCTGCATGGGTATAAGTGCGCCATGTGCACGCAATGCCTGTAATGTCCAGAAAGAGGGTATTAGATCTGTTTTAGTTATTTCACGACAAAACAACATGGCCGAGAGAACTTATAAAAGGAAGCGTTTAACTGGGGGCTCAGGGTCCTCCATCATGATGGGATGCGTGGTGCGGGAGAGAATCACAAGCTTGAAGCAGAGGGAGCTGGTGGGAGGGAGGGTGTGGGCTTTTGAACTCTCAAAGCCCTACCCCCAGTGACACACCACCTCCAACAAGGCCTCACCTGCTAATCCTTCCCAAACTGCTCCTTGGACTGGGGACCAAGCTCTCAAACATAGGAACTTAGGCTGCCATTCTCACTCAAGCCACCATGAGTCATCTCTCCAGACTTCTTATTTTATACAGTGACTTGATAATAGTGTTAAATTCCTTATTAGGAGGAAATAATATGACCATCTATATGTGACATAAACTTTGAATATGCCAATAGATTACTTGAAAACCCCAACACATAATTCTTAAGTAACTTACAAGTGTTAGAAGATGTTTATTGGCCACCCGTCCCTGAGGACTTATGCATAGCCAATAAGGGAGACACATTTGCATAGTCAATAGGGGAGGAGCTCTATGGTGACATAGCCTTGACAAAGTTCCTGTAAATAACCCTAATGAAACACTCCCGGGGGGAGGGGGGTGAGGCTCCAGAAGAGGAGTAGTTGGGCAGAGGAAGGGCTTTAGGAGTTGGGGGTGGGCAAGAGGAGGTACCAAGTGTTAATATGACTGAAATACATTATGTATATGAATGGCGATGTCACATTGAAACACATTCTGTAATTTCTACATGCTAGTTTAAACGTTGATGATTGGGGTGGGCGTATAGAGCTGTCAGCAAAGTTCTTGCCTTGCAAGTATGAGAATCAAGCTTTGAGCCCCAGAATGCATGGATGTTCCGGGTATGGTGGTCCATGCTTGTCCAGCAGTGAGGAGGTGCAAACAGGAGGCCCCTGGGGCTTGCTGGCCAGTGAGAAGTCCTGTCGCAGAGGTGGTGGATGGATGCATGTGAAAAGACTTGGCACCAAGCAGGGTATTATATCAGTCTAATTTGGATAAGCCTCGCCAATTTACATTCTGATTTCATTTTTCCCCCTGCTTGAGAAGTATCTGTTCAGTAAATATGCCCATTCCTTGTTTGGATTATTTGCTTTAAAATTTGAGGTCTCACTTTTCCTAGCTGGCCTTGAATTCGTAGAGATCCACCTACCTCTGCTTCCTGAGTATTAAATGCTAAATAATTGTTTTTAAAAATATCCTCTATTCTTTGATAAGCTCATACATATATACGATGTACATTGACTTAACCACTCTGATTCTTCCTTCCCATTCCTCCCCATATTTTGTAATTTTGTTATTTACTCTTAAGACAAATGAACCTGAAACAATCCATATTACCTAAGACTGTCGTGTCTTTCGAGCTAGAACATGTCTTGATGCATGGTTTCACAGTGTAGCTCAGGCTCCTCCTGCCTTAGTCTCCTGAATGGCATAACTACAAGTTTACACCACCACACTGGCCAGAACACATTTTATATTGCAACCACTATGTAAAATACGTACCTGGAGCAAAAACCTGGGAAAATGTCTTTAGTAAGCACAGTGTGCCTTATTTTACGGTTAGTTATTAAAACCCTAGAAAGTAAGGCTGGAGAGATGGATCAGTGGGTAAGAGCACTGGCTGCTCTTCCAGAGGACCTAAGTTCGGTTCCCAGCACCCACATGGTGGCATCTGATGCCCTCTTCTGGTATAAAGTTGAACATGTAGATAGAGCGTAAAATAAGTAAATCTTTAAAACCTTAGACGGGTTTCACAAATTGGTTTGAAACAAATGGAGTTCAGTGCCATCCCTTTCTCTGATCGAATATAGGAACAGAAGGCCTAAGACTTGCATGGCTTAGCCCACAGAGGTTAGACTAGGAGTGGACGCTGTTTTCTGACTTCCCGGAGTTTGGCGCTCTAACTCAGTGGCCTCTCCTTGGTGAATTCTTCTGGACACGCTTCAGTTGAGGCTGATGTATGTAGCGAGTGTGTGTTGTTCTCTGTTGCTTTGGCCTCACAAGTACGTGTGTTGGAAAAGCGCTGCTGAAGATGTAGAAAAGAGAATCTCCGGTCAAGTGTCAGGGCTGCCAAGTTGAATGACAGGAGAACTGGGCATCGGTGGCGCTGGCAGCACCCAAATGTCACAGAATTAGAGTTGGTGAACCTGGGCAGGCGACAGTACTTCGGGGACAGCCATCTCACTAAATGGTGCTTGTTGGATATTAGAAATGTTTTCCATTCCACGTTCCCAGTGCTCTCGCAGCCTGGGGTTTCAGTGTTCCCATTTAAAACTGTAAAATTAACTTCGCTGTATCTTACTTAACTTTCCCCCAAATCCTGTTTGGGTATGGATGGATATAACAAATCAGTGAGATATTTATTTCCCTTACTTTTTGGTTCTTTAAGAATTTACATGTGTTTTGCATTTAGCCCATTTCAATTAGGCTTCTCAGTCTGCACACATGGCTGGTAGCCACTGTATGAGATAGCGTGGTTATGCCTATTAGATAGTGCCTTACGCAGGGGAGCTGGTCTCAGCAGCAAACTGCGGCGTGTCTCAGCTTAGCTCCAAGCTCCAGACTGCACCCGAGCCTGATGGTCCACACTTGCTCTCAAACACTAGGCTTCATCATGAGGGAGCACTGGAGCCCATCTGTGAGCAGGGAGGCTTCATCACTAGACGACTCTATTCCTTAAGAGAACCTGAGCCGAGAGCCGAGCTGCCTCAGAGCTACTGTGGAGCAGATCCAACCCTGCCACTCTGACCCGTGCCCTTCAGCAAGGTCTTCCTTATGGTGGAAACGAACGGGAGTGTGGTAATGGGCCCGAGCCTCCCCATCTCTGGTGCCCTGCCTTAAAACGCCTAGCACTTTTGAAGCACCTGCTACTTGGGTGGGTTTTTTGTTTTGTTTTTTTGGTGTCTTCCTCCTCTTTAGTTGACCAGCTTCTAGCTAATAATTTACTAAAAATTTCCTATTGATGATGCTCTCAGGACCCTATCCCTCCTTGGGAAGCAACTGGTGGATGCTGGTGAAGGAGGAATTGTCTTCAGTTAATGTAGCCATTGGATAGCTCCCAACCATCTTATGTGAATGGTCCTGGTTATACTCAGGGGCTCACAAAACAAACTAACAACCCATGGCTATGGGAATGGGATGTGTGTCGGGGTTCGATGGGTGGGAGTCATTGATACATTATACATGAAATTGTCAAAGAATAAATGTAATTAAAATTTTTCCTGTTCAGATAATGTGATTTCCATCTCCTGTGTGACACTGACCCTGCTACAAAACTATTTTAAAGTGGGCCCGTGGCATACACACACTCTAGCAAAAGGCATGGGATATGATCTGCATGCTCTATATTGAAGCTTCCCCTTTGAAGAGTTCTGAGTTGGGCATGGTGGCTCAGGTACGTGATCCCAGCATTTGGGAGGCAGGTAGATCTCAGGAGGCTGAGACAGGTAGATCACTGTGCATTGGAGGCCAGCCTGGGCTACGGTAAGTTTGAGGGCAGCAGGCTGACCCTGTGCCTCAAAGGAAGATCGATTTTGAGAGTGTTTGAAATGTTCTGATGATTTAGATCTATTTGATAGCTTCAACGGCATCGCTGTACCCTCCCTTTTTAGTATGTACCTTCTGCTGTTCTTAAGCTCAGCATTTGGCTTTTCTGCAAAGATACAGCTTTGGACCTAAGATCAACAATGGTGCCAGTTTAAACCTTATGATGTCTCTAAGCATGTGTGTTCCCTTCCTACCTTCAGTGATGAAATGCCACCTAAGTGAGGTGTGCTCAAGGCATGCTAAAAGCATGCAAGGCCTGGACTTTGGAGCCAGATAAAAGTGCATTTGAGTGCTGCTGGTTTTTTTTTTTAACCTTTGTAAATGAGGCTGAAGTTACTTGTTTGTTCATGAGTCAGAAACAGCCACAACTGTTCAAAACAAAACTACAACCAAAAAACCCTTCTCTGTGTGTTCGCTCAATTATTTGGAGACAAAGTCTTGCTGCCTTGACCTCGTGACCTTCTGCAGCAGCCTCTTGGGT